CTACTTTGGAACTAAATGTAACGAACATTATTTTCTCTAGAGAATGATACATTCTCACTTGCACGAGCTTCTCCCTTCATAGGCTTCACACGTCTTTTTAAGAAAATAGATAAGGCCAAAAAACAATTAACAGTCTTATTTCAAACTATCTCGTCGAACTCAAGTTTGAAACAAGTTCCAAAATATTCTAAGTCCCATATTGTTATCACCTTGTAGGCATGAGACTCCTTCACCAAATTATGGTCGAATTTTTTACATAATCTTCTTATTCGAAGCCGACTAGCCTTCTTCAAAATACTTCTTTCAGCTTCACTTGACATCTCAAATTCTCCCGAGCGTTGAAATTCCAGCTAACAGATGCATACACCGCAAGCGTATCCAAGAGTTTATTTTCCAACATAAAATAAAATGCCACAATTTGATCTGAAGTGGCACAAATGATAGGATTAATATCCAACTTACAGAAACACCAAAGAGATGGTTGGAAAGAGTTATAGAAATAAAAATACTTATAACCAAGTTTGTGGAACCAATTTCAAGGAAGTTTATCGTACATAATCATAGGTTTGGCAATGAAAATGAAATTAGGCTTAAAAAGAATCAATAACCTTTTGAGAGCTAATCTTAAGGGAGGTTTAGCTATTCCCTTAATATTCCAATAGAGGCACTTTATAAGGTAATATTTTTAAGGTCTGTTTGGGACCTAGTGCCATACTTCTGATTGGAATTAGGAGGTTTCTGTTTTTTCCTAAGATTAGAGATTAATACAGAAAATGCAACAATACCACTATTATGTACCACATCAGGAATTTCATCCTCATAAGGTTCACCAACCAAAATATCCCATGAATTCCTTATAAAAGTTTTGTCTTTGATGACTGCGGTTTTAGCCTCATTCTCAACCTGCCCAATATCTATTATTTTGTGTGGGAGGCACAAAAATGGATACGTGTGAAACCAAACAGCCTCCCCATAGGGCAACAAAGATGGGCCATTTGGCTCCTCGCATGAGAGACTTATCGTCTCCTCAAGCAGGACAAAACATAAGGGTAACTTATAGGAGGCACGACAAATATCTAGCTTGAGAAACATGATAACAAGTCTTGCCTAAGGGCTTGATGGAAGTCCTGCCTAAGTAGGAAAAATGCCTCGCTTGAGGGACTGATAGTCTCATCAGCCGGGATATATACAATTATGTCTGGAATACTTATATTCTCTAAGGTAAATAAATCATTTCCAAAGGGACTTAGTGTCTCCTCGGTGGGACAAAACTAAAGGGTCGCGCGTAGATGGCGTGATGGATATCCAGCTTGAGAGACTTGATAACATGTCTTGTCTAAGGACATGATAGAAGACCTGCCCAAGTAGGCGAAACGCCTTACCTGAGGGACTGATAGTCACCTCAGTCGAGCTATATACAACTCTATCAACAAGACTTATATTCTCCATGTTAATTAAATCCTCTCCTGACGGACTTAGTGTCTCCTCGTGCGGGACAAAACTCAAGGGTCACACAAAAAATGAGCGACAAATATCCATCTTCAAAGAATTGATAACAAGGGTTGCCAGATGGCTTGATGGAAATCCCACCCAAGTAGGAAAAATCCTTGCTTGAGGGGATGATAGTCTTAGTTGGGCTATATACAATTATGTCAAGAAGACTTAGATTCTCCAGGCTAATTAAATCCTTTCCTGAGGGACTTAGTGTCTCCTAAGGCATGACATAACTTAAGGGTCACACCTAGGAGGCGCGACGAAAATCTATTTTGAGAGACTTGATAACATGTCTTGCTTGAGGGCTTGACAAAAGTCCCTCCAAGTACGCAAAATGTCTCGCCTGAGGGACTGATAGTCTCGTCAGTTGGGATATATTAAATTCTATCGTGAAGACTTAGATTATCCAGGATAATTAAATCCTCGCACAAGGGACTTAGTGTCTCCTCGGGCGAGACAAAACTAAAGGGTCATGCCTATGAGGCTCAAAGAATATCCAGCTTGAGAGATTTGATAACAAGGCTTTCCGAATGACTTGATGAAAGTCTCACACAATTAGGGAAAAATGCCTGGCCTGAGGGACTGATAGTCTCGCCAGCCAGGCTATATAAAATTTTGTCGTGAAGACTTAGATTCTTCAGGCTAATTAAATCTTCGACTGAGGGACTTAGTGTCTCCTCAGGCCGGACAAAACTCAAGGGTCACACCTAGGAGGTGCGCCAAATATTCTACTGGGGAGACTTGATAACACATATTTCTTGAGGGCTTGATGGAAGTCCCGCCCAAGTATGCAAAATGTCTCGCCTAAGGGACTTATAGTCTCCATGTCATGCTATATTCAATTATGTCAGGAAGACATAGACTCTTTAGGCTAATTAAATCCTCGTATGAGATACTTAGTGTCTTCTCGGGCAGGACAAAACTCAAGGGTCACACCTAGGAGGCACAACCATTATCCTGCTAGAGAGACTTGATAACAAGTCTTGCCTGAGGGCTTGATGAAACTCATGTCCAAGTAGGAAAATTGCCTCGCCTGAGGGACTGATAGGCTCGTCAGTTAGGCTATACAAAATTTTGTCAGGAAGACTTAGAATCTCCCGACTAATAAAATTGTCGCCTGAGAGACTTAACGTCTCTTCAGCTGAACCTTCTAGGATAGCTAAGACCTCATGAGAGGAAGCATCATTTCTCGGGATACTTCCATCATCCTTTAGTGAAAAACATGTAATCTTCTACCAAATGCCTCGTTCTTGAAAGACTATGTAGTGTTATATTTGTAAAAGACCTCGCCTAAAGCGATGTCCTTAGACCACCCTAGAAGGGGTGACGATATAAAGTCATCTGAAGGGAGGTTTCTCCTTGTGTAGTAGTTTTTCCTTGCCCCTACGTGGTAAATATGATATAAGACGCTTCTCGGGAAGATAGAAAGTCAAGGTCAAAAACTGACCCACGACTCCCTTAGAAACGAGGATTCAACTGTCCACTATTGACTAAGTGGGTGTGGCATTTTACGAGGAAACCCTACGTCCAAGATACCTCTATAAATACATCTCCTCTCAAGGAGAAATGGGTGCCCCCTAAGTGATAAATATTGTCCACACCCTGAAGAGCACAACGTTCACTATAACTTTGATATATGACCTCCGACAATTATACGCTTGTTACCAAACATCACCTATCATCAGTAGAGCCTTTCACCTCACGTGAGCAGGTCTCTCAAATTACCTCAAAACACCACCGTATAAGACTTCTCGTTACTGTGGGAAAGCCCTAACACCATAAACTATTATAAACCTACTAAAGCCTTCGAGTCTCCCTGTCCTTGTAGGGGGAACATGCACACCTGTACTTTTTTATCAGTAACACTCTTAACTCCTTCCCACAAAAACCTTCTTTGAATCTTAACTATTTTCCTCCAAACTTTTATAGACATTTTTCATACAAGACATGAAAAAAATATGAAGAGCATTAAGCATAGAGTTAACTATGAGAATACCCAACTCAATGACTCTGTTAATAAAACCACTTAACCCTTCAACCACTAGCAGGAAGAAGAAGAAGGAAGAGGAAGAAGAAGAGAGCTAAAGAGTCCCCTTGTTTTAAACCTCTTTGAGTGCTAATCTCTTGTGAGGGACAACCATTAATCAATACCACAAGATTTCTATCGAAAATACAGACTCTAATCCAAGACCTCCACTTATCAGTGAAATAAAATCTAACCAACATGTATGATCTCTCATCTCTAATATATAGATGATACACTTGTCATTGAAGTCAAATCTAATTAACATATACTCTAAAAACTTTCAATTCACAACTCAAAATTCACTTTAAAAAATTTTTTCCTAACTTTTTTTTAGCTACGTCAATTACTTCATTAATTAATCTACTAGCCGGTTCACGGAGAAAGCAATAAATTAGACACTACAACATTTGTTGTCTCTGGCAACACTTTTTTAGGTAACATGTAGAAATTGTTGCCTTAAATTCATATAGGCAACGATTTACGATTGTTGTCAAAAATATGTTTGCAACCCTTGATAATCGTCGCCTAAAATACTTTTGGGGACGTTTATGGAGCGATACTCTTTTATTTTTTTGCCAACGGTTGTTAATTGTGCCCTTAACTGCTTTTGAGGATGATTTTAGAGCGTTAAAATATTATTTCTTTAGCAATGTTTGACAATTTTCCCCTAAAATATTTTTGGGGACATTTTTAGATTGTTACATTAGTTCTAATAAAAGGCTACATTTCTGAAATGTTGTATAAATTTTTTTAGAATTATCAAATTTTTGGTGGCAATCTTCCCTCCAAAACTTATACACTAAAAAACAAATATTTTTCTCTAAACATTATTAATATATATATAAAAAATATTTTTCTAACACAGGAATTTAAAATCCTAATAAAATAAACATATAAAAAGAGCAAAGAGGTTACAGTAGAAACAAATGGGAGGAACCACCCATATCTAATATATCTAATATATATATATATATATATATATATATATATATATATATATATATATATATATATATATATATATATATATATATATATATATATATATATATATATATATATATATATATATATATATATATATATATATATATATATATATATATATATATATATATATATATATATATATATATATATATAGACACATTCCACTCTCTTTATAAAAATAAAAAGGAAAAAACTTCCTATTAAAAATAAAAACAAAAGAAGACCAAACTTTAAGAAACAGAACACGTTAACTCAAACCTCAGTATTCTTTCTTTCTCATTTTTTTAGATCTTATACTAACCTTCCTCCTCCATATCTCTTCATTTTTCTTAACTTAACAAATCTCCCATAAATTCAAATTAAACAAACAAGCCATCGAAAGGTAAAAGTATTGTACCTGAAACCCAGAATCGTTGGTGGGTTGCGGGTTGTTGTTACACTGGATCTAGATGGAGGGGTTTGCGATCGTGTTGGTTCTGTGGCAGAAGGTATGGACTGTGGATCTCGGAGTGCGCCGTGGTGGTTTACTTTAGTGACGGTTCTCGGTGCTACAGGGCGTTTGTCGGCGTCGCGTGTTGTTTCTGGTGCATTGTGGACTCGCGGCTGCGATCGGAGCGGAAGGCTGGAGTCTCAAGTCTGCGCGATTTGGAGTGTGGTAAGGATGGAAGAGGAAACTTATTCTTCCCACTTCTTTTTGACTTCGCATTGTTTTCTGCTACGGTTATGATATTATTGTCGTCTAGAATTCACTGCTGGGTTAAAGGTGATGAGTTTGTGTGAGTTTTGGTTTTTGTGTGTATAAGCGCTACTAATATTTTCATTGTTACAGTAAGATAGAGTTAGGTCAAATTTTAAGAGTCGCAAAGAGGAAAATTCAAGAGTCGATGATCTCCTTAGAACTTGTAAATACTTAAAGTACTTGCAAGTTACTTCTCTTGACTGAATATACACGAGAAGTGTTGCCTCTTTACTAGAGCAGTGAAAATTAAGGCTATATGATACTTATGGTTGGACTGCAAAGATACGAAATATTCTTCATAGATATTTCTTCTTAATATATATACTCAATCTTTTTTTCCAAATCGTATTGCAGGAGAGATGATTGTAGGTCCCATAAAAGCACTTTTTATGGATGAAATATCAACTGGCTTAGACAGCTCCACTACTTTTCAAATAGTTACATGTCTCCAGCAATTGGTGCACATAAATGATGCAACAACAGTGCTTTCACTCCTCCAACCAGCACCAGAAACCTTTGAGTTGTTTGATGATCTTATATTGATGGCAGAGCGGAAGATAGTATACCATGGCCCCTGCAGTCAAGCACTCCAGTTCTTTAAGGATTGCGGTTTCTGGTGCCCTGAAAGAAAAGGAGTGGCAGACTTTTTTCAAGAGGTAGGAATAGAAACTGTGTCCCTTACCATTGCGCCAAAGTTCAAGTGATTTTACTCATAGTTTCACGAATTACAAATTTCATGCGCACGCATGTAACCTCTAAGAAGTATCAAAGGCAATACTGGTACCGCACGGATATTCCTTACAGTTATGTTTCAGTGGATGAGTTCTCTCAAATTTTCAAAACAAGCTACTGGGGAAGAATGTTAGTTGATGAGCTCTCACAACCATATGATAAATCTCAATCCCATGAAAGTTCTTTATCATATAGCAAGTACTCCTTAGGAAAATGGGATTTGTTTGAAGCTTGTATGAAGAGGGAGATTCTTCTCATGAAACGAAACTCGTTTATCTATATATTCAAAACTGTGCAGGTTACTATCAAATTCAAGTTCAATTCAACTCAGCTAAGTCGTACTTGAACATATAAAATCTAACTTGCTTCTTTTTTCGCTTGTTTTGCAGCTTACAATCACTGCAATCATAACAATGACGGTCTTTTTGCGCACACAACTTGACGTGGACTTGTTAGGATCAAACTATTTATTAGGTTCACTGTACTATACACTTGTACGCCTAATGACAAATGGAGTTGCCGAGTTGATAATGACTATTACTAGACTACCCGTTGTTTATAAGCAGAAAGCATTCTATCTCTATCCAACTTGGGCTTACTGTCTTCCAGCTGCCATACTAAAGATTCCATTTTCAGTCCTTGATTCTCTTGTTTGGACATCAATAACATATTATGTTATAGGCTACAGCCCAGAACTAACAAGTTCTGTAACTCGTGTATATGTAAGTATAGTCAAACTTTTTCTCTTTTCTTTTGCAAGTTTTTTCTTATATTATTATTGAATCAGGTTCCTCCGCCAGTTCCTTTTGCTTATCGCTCTGCACATGTCATCAACCTCTATGTGTCGTTCCCTTGCTGCAGTTTTTAAAACTGATGTTGCAGCTACAACTGATGGTTCTTTGGTCTTAGTACTCATGTTCTTGTTTGGAGGCTTTATTCTTCCTCGACGTAAGTCGCTTTATATCGTCTCAGTTATAACATGTGGTAGTACTAAATTACTAATTACCAAGTTACTCATCATGGAGTTTATTCTCTGCAGCATCATTACCAAAGTGGTTTAGGTGGGCTTTTTGGCTTTCTCCCATGTCATATGGGGAAATAGGAATAACACTCAATGAATTTCTTGCTCCTCGCTGGCAAAAGGTATCTTCTAAGATAATTTATTTGGTTTCATGATAGGTCACAATATACGTTTATATGGATCTAATTCATATACATTGTCAGGATGATGATTTTTTATATTGTCAATGAATCATAATCGGAAGATCATTACAAATGTTTGACGTTTATTCTAAATACTACTGAAGTCACGCATATAACTGGTTGTAATTTGTTTACAGTGTAAAACTTTTTACACAGACGGTGTATCAACATGAATCTCCAGTTATATATTTATATTTACTATCGTTATTTTCATCATCATTATTTTTCAGATTCAAGAGGGAAACATCACCGTTGGAAGAGAGGTTCTCAAGAGTCGTGGTTTAGACTTTGATAGCAACTTTTTCTAGATATCAATTGCAGCATTACTTGGTTTCGCAGTAGTATTTGATATCCTATTTGTAGTAGCATTAACTTACTTAAAAGGTGAGTCCTATCCATGATATTACAAGGAAAAGTAATTGTATGTAACATTGTTTATATAATACGTTTGCTTAATATAATCGGCCAACATTGTCTATAATAGTAGCTAATATTTTTTTTTTGTAATTTATGCTAGTCCCAACTTCAAGAAATGGTTGAAAAGGAGGAAAGTGATACCGAAGCTTTTAAAGTTTTTTTTGGAAAGGAGTGTTCAGGCAAGGTACGCTGTTATGGGAGAAACATAACTAAAACTTCCTTAAAGAGAAAGGCAGAGATTAATGCTTTGAAACAAGCCCACAGTGAAGAGGTCTCTACATTAAGGGACGAGTTTAAAGATAAGATTGATAGATTGCAAAATGCTTTTAAGACCGTAATACAACAATGCAATCCTCAAATTAATATAGAGTCAATTGAAGATTTGTTAGGATTATCTCATGGAGATGCTAATAGTTCCCCAAAGGATATAAGACCGCAAATGCATTCATCTACATCAACTCATGCTCCATGTCATGGAAAGGTAACCATATATACCAATATTATTGATTTATATTTTTCTAATTATGTTATAGTATCAAAATGGTTGTTAATGTATGCAAAAATTTGCAAGTAGTGACAACACCTAGAATAAAGTAAGTGGTTGGAATTGTTTAAGTAGTGACAACACCTAGAAGTGGCTGAAACTGTTTTATTTGTGCGAGCTTTCATTGATATTTCACAAACATACTTGCCTGGGATAAGATTATGGGACCCCCTTGTTTGATAACACTCACTATGTATGCTGTAAATTTATCCATATGATACTGAACACCAAAGAAGATACAACAAGTAAGAGTGTTCATCAGAGTTCATTTACTCCAAAAAATAAACATAAAAGGATAGCACAAGTTATACATACATACATACATACAGTTAAAGGCTATTGTAAGTCCTGAATAGTGAGCCAAAAACAGAATGGTTTTCATAATTGATTTATTTGCTAGTAAGCTCATGTCACCTATTACAGTTTAGAACGAAAATTCACATCCATTAAAAACCTTCATAATTAATTCACATCCATGAGATGTGAAGAATATAAACAATGTGTTTTGCTCATTGGTTTAGTTTTTATTTGTGCGAGGTTTAATTCTTGTTGATGTCTTAATTATCCTTTGGACCAAAAATACTTATGGTTAATGTGTTTTATTTTATTTTCTTATGCAGCAATGTATCAATGAAGATGTTGAAAAGGACGATATAAATGATGAAATTCAAGAGGACGACATAAATGATAAAATTCAAGAGGACGACCTAAATGATAAAATTCAAGAGGACGACGTAGATGACGAATTTCAAGAGGACGACATAGATCTAGATGATGAATTTCAAGAGGAGGATATAGATGGTGAATTTCAAGAGGACGACGTAGATGAAGAATTTATGGAGGATGACATATCTAACGAATTTCAAGAGGACGATCTGGATGCTTTACTCCTAGAAGACAAACTTGAATGAGTTGGATGATGTCTTTTTTTTGGCTTGTAGTTGAAAGCATTAAACTTGAAATATGATTTTTGTTCTTTTGCTGAACTATGTTTTTAGTTATTTTACTAGGGTCATACTTCAAAGTATTAAAAGTAATATTGTTACGTTAGGCATTTTGTGTACTCTATATACTATATCTTGAATTAAAGTTTGAACTCGATTTTATTATATTACAACTTTTATGGATGTATGGTTTAAGTTATATAATCAATATTATTTTTGAAGCCAATTATTATTGACTATATTATTTTGATAATAATTGTAAAATTGTATATTTTATGTGGACACTATAAAATAACAACCTATAAGCTATGGCTACACTTCAAAAACGATCTTCCTGATTCAGGTTTAAGGCAACGATTGTTAATTGTAGCCGAATTTGGCAACGCAACGCTTAAAAAACGTTGTCTCAGAGGCCGTAAATAATCGTCCCCTATTCCTTTACTATAGACGACGTTTTTCAAAAGCGTTCCCAAAAAACATAAAAAAATGTCGCCTCAAACAATAGGCAACTCTCGCACAGGAGACGCCTAGAAAACGTCCCCTATTATTTTAGGCAACGATTTTCAGAATTCTGGCAACGTTTTCTAATTGTTGCTGGAGAGCCTAAATGTTGTAGTGAGAGTTTTTAATGAATAACTAACAATCTATAATGAGAGTGAAAATTGAAAAGTGAAAAATGAATAATGAATAATATTTGCAAGTTCTCCAAAAATGATCCACACACATTCATTTTAATCATCAGGCAGGATAGCATTATGCATCATTTCCACCTCTTAAAAGAGAGAATTTTCGTTATGAACATTCAATTCTTCATCATTGCTTTCCCTCCACCTATTCTTTCTACTCATCTTCACAACCACATATATTCGTTACCACTTAAATTAAAGCTATTTGTTTATCATTATTTATAATGAACCATTCTCAATGCTTGCCAGGTACAAAAATATCTAGTTCTAAGCTTCAGTCGACAATTTTTTTTTTGTAAACTCATTCAAATGTTGCCGCAGAACGAAAGCAATGTCGACATCCATTATATTCCACCACTCGTGAATAAATGCATAACAAATAATGATAGAATAAACAAATCCTGTTTATCTTTTGATCAATTAGTGCTTATGGATTATGAGTCATTTAATTGTAGGAGTGTATATAATTGGTTATTTTAGAAACTAAATCATAATTATATTTAAATTATTTAAATGATTTAGATTTATAATTATATTTTAATACAAACTGGTTCTAAATTTGGATATGATTATATAATTGATTTTTCTAAAAAATCCAGTTTATAAAATTTTTCTTATAATAAGACATTTTAAAACCAATTATTTATAAATTTGAAAGAAAAAAATAGATTACTTTTTAATTTAAAATCTAGTTATGTATTTCTTAAAATTGATTATCATTTATTTTTAAATATGTTTTCAAAAACAAAATACTTTTTTCTGAATTTTTTTCAAATATTTTTGAAAAAAGTGAAAAAATAAAAATAAAAATGTTTTGAAAAATTAAAAAAAATCCAAAAAAAAAATATTTTTACAAAAATTTAAAAAAAATATTTTTCTGAAAAATAAAAAAATATTTTTTCCCAAAAAGAGTATTTTTAAAAAGTATATTTTTGCGAAATTTTTAAAAAAAATTGAAAAAAAAAATATTTCAGAAAAAAAAAGTAATTCTAAATTAAAAAAAAAAAGAAAAAGAATAAAACTAAAAGTTTGGAAAATTAAAAAAGAAATTCTGAAAAATAATAAATCCAACATAAAAATTATTTTTTTTGAAAATTTAAAAATTTATAATTGAATTTTAGATAACAACCAATTATAATTGAATCCAAAAATATTTTAATCATTTAATTATATCAAGATTCTATGAATAGATAATCAATTATTAATAACTAAATCAATTAATAATTATTTATTTATATATGGATATTTAAAACAAATTTATTATGTATTTGAACTTCGCAATTGGATATTTTATACACTTCTATTTAGATAAATTAAATATTAATTAAGTCATTTTTATTTTTAAATACAAATAGGAGTATTTCCTATTTTTTAAATTAAAAAAAGAGTATATCCTATTGATTAATATATTGATTTAAAAATAATAAATGCAACTAATAAAGAAAAAGAAATGAAGTTTCATCAAACTAAAAAAGTATCTAAGAATAATGGATTGATTCGATTTAAATCTCTTTTGATTTATCTTAATCAATATTAAGTTCGAAATCAGTTTTAAATATACGTACAAAAATATTAAATTATTTGAGAAAGAATTTTATCTTCTAGTATAATCTTTCTTAGTTCGAGAATTAATCTTAACAGTTGCACGTAACTCTTTATTTTGCCTATAAAGTCTTTAATTTGCCTATAAAAAGTATGCTCTTGAGACACTTCAAGCTCATTCATCAACCACAAGCGAAATTACTTATAATTCACCTACATCTTATTATTCCATACATACATACTTTTTCAAAATGCGTTCAAAGGGTGTTGCAACCATTACCATTCTCATTCTCACAATCCTTATATTTTTCTTCACCACCCCTACCTCCGCTCAGGCACCCCCAGCTGTGTCACCACCACCATCGAATTGTCCTAATCTGCGTGTTTGCATCTCTCTTTTGAAAGATTTGGTGGGTGCTGTGCTCGCCCCTTTACAATCCAAACCTTGTTGCTCCCTCATTGCTAATCTTGTTGATCTTGATGCTGCACTGTGTCTTTGTACAGCCATCAAACTTAATCTTTTGGGAATAAACCCTAATATTCCCTTAAACTTAGCACTTGTTGTTTGTGGACGTAGCACGTCCATTAACTTCGTATGCACTTAATTAACATATAATATCATCACAATGCTATTTATATCATTTCTAAATAATGGAACATTCTTATGAATATTAACTTCCAACGTCATCTAGATAGTAAATATGTTCTTTATGTTGTTCTTAATTACTTGTTGTAATGGAATTGAGGATTCTTAATTATTATAAATCTTACAATAAAAATTCCTTATATAGTTTATGCATGAAGTTGTATTAATCTTTGATCTTCTAACTAATATAGTTTACACTTAAGGACATTTGATTCCTTGTAAGGTGATAATCTATAACTATATAAAAACAAAATATAGTTTTGGTGTATTTATTTTTGTTTCAACTGTTTTTAACCTCAACTTTTCTTTACTAATGGTTATATGACAATTTTTATATCTTTATAATTCTATCCTAACGTTAAAATAAAAAATAAAAACTAATACATAAAAAATACCGTTTATATTTTCACTTACTTGCACACAAAAAAATAGAAGGTAATTTTTGATGTAGCTATTTTTTTGCAATTATACTACTTATATATTGTGAATATTTTTAAAAAATAATTAAAGGTTGTAAGTGAAAGTTGGT